GGAAAAGTTTGGTATATCCGAATATTTTCTGACCATTGCCTTTGAGCTCTGCCCAGGCTCGCCCAATCTTCTGGACACTCTAGCTGGAGGGTTGCCCACACTTCGAAAAATCCTGGATACGCCATTGCTTAAGTTCCAAAAGAAAAGTTCGTAGCTTATAAACTGATGGAGATAGCCTGTAGCAACATTCTAATGTTACACGCCTATTCTGTAATAGTTAAGCCTGCACCACTAAATGAGCGTTCTACAGTGTAGAACGCTCATTTAGTGGTGCAGGCTTTACTTGTGCTCAGTGGTGCAGGCTTACTTTTTGATAAAAAAAGACATGTTTGAAAATAGAAGAGTGAATTGTAACCGACGAAACTCTCCTGATTTGTGTTCTAGTGGCAAGAGCCGAATAAAACCCGGAATTTTTTTTCCTTTCACCCGACCCGAATCAATATTTTTTACTTTAACCCGAACCCGACTAGACCCGAACCAATATTTTTTACATTGACCCGAACCCGACCCGAGACAATCGGATCCGACCCGACCCGTTTCGGTCTGTGTTGGGAACATCGAGAACTAACTGTTGTGTTGTAACTACAGTTGTGCTCAGTGCTGTGTTTGTTTAGTATGTGCGATTGCGTATGATATTTGTGCAGTGCCAATAGTGACTGAAAGTTTTCATGTCTTCTTTAGATTAATAACAGAACAACCAAAATCGTACTAATACTATTTTATAGGTAAAAACGTCAGACGATGGGAGCACTCCAGCAAGTTCACTGAGTGAGTTGTAATAATACTAATTTTTGACAAACGCTACTTTCTATGTATTTTTGGTTCTTCAGTTCTCAATGATTAGATGATATTGTAAAAACATATCAAACATCTTATTGGTTAAAACAAACAATATTCTTTTATGAACATGACGAGAGAGATTATTTTTTTATTGCCACATTACCCTATCATTATGAACAGTTTAATTATATTAACGATAATATTATTAATTATCGTTTGAACCAATCAGGAATAATAGCAACAACAACAGTCAGGTAAGTGGTATTCTTTTCTTTTCCTCCCAATCACAAGGAAGGTTGATACATAACAAGACCCTGATTTCATGAACGCTTGCAAGAGCAAGAAATGAGACCACTAGATCAGATCAAAGATGACAATGTGTATGAAAGTTGATCATAGTATATTTAAGAAGGAATGTCAAAGTTTCAACTCAAACGATATACAGTTTATTAGAGATGAAATATTTTTAAGTACTGTTATTGTTGAATGATAAGAGTAGAGGTCTGTGATCATATGCAATCGATCTGACTATGGTTTTAGATTCAGTCAGAGATGAGCAAGTTCGTTACTCTTTTAAGATCAGTCTCTTCCTACCTTTTTTTTCGATTCATGTAGTATGCTTCTTTTCGGTAGGGCAGACGAGCATTTAGTGTAAAGAAGCGAATCAATCAGCGAAGAAATCAGCGGGACAAAACAGGTGGTTTTTTATCATAACTTCATCAACTACGTGGTAACAGAAGAAATCGATTTTATGTTTTTCGATAGTTTTAGCTTAGAATATTATAATGATATATTTTTCCACTTGAACATTGTTACGATCTAGAGCCAATAGGTGAATAAGAAAAGATCTTTTTACAGCAGCAATCATTTATTTAATAATTTAACTTAAACTTATCTGACGTTTCGACTCTTCACTGAGTCATTTTCAAAAGTAAAATATAGACTCTTTGGAGTGAAAACTAGATAAAACAGAAGGATGAAACTACTCCATATATACTGTGATTTCAATATTGATCAGAAACAGAACAGAAAAGAGACAAGAAGAGAATATCATAATATTTCTCTTTTTCTCATTTTATTGACTACCTGACTGTTCATTTGTTCCTTCTCGAGTTGTATCCCCGCCAAGATCATACAGTTCTTCGTCATTTCGAAATAAACCGTCCGGACATACAATTAGTGGTACAGACCGAACTGTACCATTTAGATCAGGTTTAAGTGCTAAAATGGGAAGAGACTCTTTGATCAATAAACGATATTCAATTCTGTCCCGTTCCATTATATTCCAGTTGTCCCAGTCAAAGCTTTGACAAAATTGTTGACACAAAAATGATTGTGCGGGTTGTGACACATTATTTTCTTTCTGATTGTTATTGTTTTTCAGGCTATCTTTCTCCAAAGTAGGGTGACCTCTTGCTGGTGAGAAAGGTCAACGCAAAAAAATACTTTTTTGCGGCTAATGATCCTAGAAGCATCAGCGAACAGAAGGCTACTGTCGTAGGAACTCATTTGAAAGCGTTCAGAGTATAACACTAATATCAAAACCTACCACCTCTATAAATCCCTTCCAAATCCAGTTGCATATGGTCTTAAAAACCTCAAAAGAGTCTCATTTCACTCAGAACTCATCATTCTATCTTTCGAAGAACTGAAAATTAATTTTTGCCAAGTTTTGATTTTCTAGGGTTTTCTAGAAAACCAGATTTTCTTAGGGATTTTCTGGAATGTTTACCAACACTTTAATTAGATTTCCGAAGCAGCATCGAAAACTGCACTAGATGAACTAGGTTTCAGTTATTTAACTTTTTTTGCACGGAGTTATTCAAACGTCTTCGGAGGCCGCACGGCACATATAAAAACCTTTGTCGAACCGAACGAAAACCTTTTCGGACTTAAAACTTCGGAATCTATTATTTTCGGACTATAATTTTATTATAGTCTAGTCTTGAGTTCTAGATGATATGGTAAAAATTTCAGCCAAATCGGTTGACGTCAGTATAATCATCTCTCAGGGACCGTCTCACATTCTCAGACAGTGACTCTTAAAAGGATAAGGAGTTCCAGTTATATATTTAAAACTAGGATTTTGGGCGCTTTGTTAAACTCCCCTCTCAAACCCCCCCCCCTCTTTAGCTCTTATTAAAATGTCCCTAACACCCTCTAAAAGCATCTTTTATATCCTCTTAAAGTGTCTCTTACATCCTCGTAAAATGAGGTCTAAAATCTGCTAATATTAGCACATAATGAAACTCATTTACAGGAGTGTAAAGCTATCAATATCAGTCAGCTCTTTTTTTGATCTCCAGATGTTTCAAGAGATGAATTTTTACCAATTTAGCACCGCTAGGTGCTATCCTGACAAGGTTTTATCTGCTGATCCTATCTTCAGGAAAGGATTGAACATTGCGAGAAAAAGGCGTAGAAGATAAAATAAACATGAGTTCATAGTTATCTATACAGATTTTAATTTGAGGGATAATGCTGGTTATGGTAGTCAACAATTGCCAACAACAATGCTGTTAACAATGTCTAAGGTAAAGAAAATTGCATTATATCAGGATCCAGAAAACACAAAAGAAATATTATCGTTAAAATTGTTTCAATTTCTCAAGCAAACATTCATATGTGCTACAGTTTTAAAATTAAACGAAAATTATTATTTGGAACCAAATGTTAGAAAAGAAGTTGTACAATTGAATCGAATAGAAGAAGTCCAATATATAACACCTCAGATAGATAAAAGAATTTTACGTCTATTACCAAATGTACGTCGAAAAATATGTCAATATTAATGGACAGTAAAGAGTGTGGCAAGGATGTTGTCGTCGCTTTTCACCCTTTTTTGAACTTTTTGCGAGCTTAGTGTACAATTACTATATGTACTACTGTGTGTACTACTGGAGTTTTTCCTTTGAAAAATAATGCTACATGAGAGTAAGGGTTTCTGACAATTAATAATAAATCGAGAAGAGAATGAAAGAGAAAAGAATAAAAAAAGAAAAGAAAAAGCTTACCAAATTTTTGAAAAATTGGTTTTTTGATTCTTTTTCTGCTTTAAGGTAAGTACGAGAGGTGAAATAAAGCGCGTGGGATAGATATATATTAATCCGAATGGTTTGAGCGTCAGTATCTCTCGGATACGCATTCTACACAAGTCCAAGCATGATGTTATCATCATATGCGGTAACGATTACCTTACGGTAATTAGCTGTATCCACAGCATCATGATATCTTTATACTGTCATCCAATTCAAACGTTTGCTTGACACCTGTGATACGATGGATGGTCCGATCAAGGTACGCGATGTTGATTTTGTTGTCTGTCTATCTTCACACGCTTCAAGGATGTTTGTTCATTAACATTCGTGAATGTTCTGTTAAAAGCTCAAATCAATCAAATTCTATGTACATAATAGTAGACCATGCATCGAACTACTAGATGCAGTTTTTGGCGCTGATTGCGAATCTCACATTATTATTTTTTAAAAGTTAAATTTTGGCACCAAAAATCCAGTTTTACATTTTTTGAAAAGTGTATTTTCAGTTTCCTCACCTAGACACTTTTCCTAATAAAAATGGAAGGTCACCCTAATCGATAGAGAATTCGATTCTCTACAAGATGGTATGTTTCTTTTGAAGTTTAGACTCAAAACAGGCTTTTTAATAAAGTTTTAAGTTTTAAGATTCTCACACAATTCTAAGAGAGTGAAAACATTTTTTCAGCTTTACTTTCACGTTAGTCTATATTAGATGCCTAAAACTAAGTCCAATGTAAAAATGAAATCCTTTGAGCAATGTTTAGTGCTCCAAGCTTTGTTGGGAAACCGCGTGTCACAGCATCACGACGATAAAACACAATTATTGAGGGATGGAAAGCTCATCGGAAAGATTCTTTTTTAGCAATCAGTAGCTCGTTTACTCCACTACAAACTTTGCTCAAGGCGCTTTTTATTAGCTCTTATAAATTCGCAGTAAATTAGCTTTTAATGAGAAGAACTTCGAATTTAGGGCCTTTTGTTGTCACAGCGTCACGCGCTGAAAAACGGTTCTAAAAATTCGAGTCTTAAACCACATACCTTCATTTTTCTCGCTCTTACACTTTTTGAGAAAAGCTCAAATTACTGTGTCAAAACTGTCACAGCGTCACGCTTGGACAAGCCGTACATCGAAAGCATATAATAGAAATAGCACGTATTAAGGCTATGGTTTCCAGATTCGTAATCAGTATCGCGAATTTAACAAACTAGAGTATATTTTAGCTTAATTCTAAGGAGGGAAGGCAAATTATAGGTTGTTTGTCCACGCAGATCTAATAGAACAAGCAGCATATCGCATACTACAACAATTTCAAGTAACTCCTTTTTTGGGCTCCAAAAATGCACTTTAAGATCTTCAAACGACTATTAACAGTTTTTACTCTAAAGGACGGCATACATGTTACCACTAAGGAGCACTGCAAATAGAAAGTGTATAATTCTGTTAAATAAAACGCCTCAGGGTGTTTATATTAAACAAAATAGCGTAATAGCGTAATTATTTTGCAATAGATGCATTAAGTTCAAGCGAAATTCATGTAATAAAAGCTTTTGAATTTTTTCAAGGAAATCGACATTCAGAATCCAGCATTGTTGGAAACAACCCACTTGTTTTCCATCACTGAATATTGCACAACTTTTCAATGGATCTCCAATATGTACTCTTTGAAAATCGCCGAGCATTTTCCATAAATAATTTCCAACCTTACAGTGTAGTCTCAATTTAACGTTTACTATGGCGTCATTGTATTCAATTTGTTATTATGTGCAGCACACGATAAAATTTTAGGAAAAATTATCTAAACATATTCGTGACGGTTATTTTTACATATCACAAAGGTTGAAAACGAACGAAGTGAAATTAATCGATAATGTACCTAAACATAGGAGAAAAAAAACCGTCAGTCTCAACCTTAAAACCTAAAGGGTATACTGCTCCTACTTGTTTGTCCGTTGAGATCGTCATGCTTTAAATTTAAGTTTGGTTTTGACAAAAGTTCGTTAGCATCATATGGAACTATGTTTACTGCATCACAAAACTGATCTATTGTAAAATAATGATTTTTGGAACAATATAAGCTACTCGTAACTACTTAAGCCTATCGTTTTATCTGAACTCTTTCTAAACGTTTCGACCAATGTCCTTACGAAAACGCAGCAGCT